GCTGGGCCCTCGGCTGGGCCCTCGGCGGGACCCTCGGCCGGGCCTGCAGCTCCCGCGGAGGTGCCATGCACACATTGACATATGCACACCATGCCACGCGATGGCGGCATAAAGCGGATGCTCCACATTACAACCACAAGTTTCTGCATCAGTAACCGCAATAAGGCCGTAGTGTTCAAGCACGCTCTTTGCTTTACATCCCAACAGGCTCGTTTGCAGCCAACAGCAGCTACTTGTATGTCTTGGTGCCGCGACCTCCAGCTAAAACGTTGCCTTGCGGTGCATTGAAAGGCAGGCCCTGCAAAGCCTGCAGCCCCACAAGGTGGCCGGAAGTGTCGCAAAATCCTGGGTTCGAACCGGGCGAGGCATTCAGAAATTTGGAGATCTTTCGGAGCCCACAGTGTGTCACGTCCGTGTCATCCTGTTTGGCGAATGTATAGCAGGAATTGTCAGAGATACCCCTACTGTTATACTCTCGGTAGTGGACGCATGCGAGACTTCAACAGCTCACAGCTTATAGGAGTCGCACCTGTCCAGGGCCTTCCAAGCCGAAGGTGCCTCAAGGCCCCTCTCGGCCCAAACCGGAGGCTGGGCTCAGAAACTGCTGAGCACCGGAGGGGATGAGCGGGTTGCGAGTGTTGCAAGAACGGCAGTAGGCCGACCAGAGATGACCAGAGTGCCTCAGTGTTAAACACGCGGTCGTCTTCAAGCAGCGGCTGAAGACCCTACGAAGCGATGACAAACTGCTCATGCAGGTCGCGATGTTGGAACTAGTATGTGGCATTATTTCATTATACCGTGCTCAATCCTTTCGAGGATGCACGGCTGCCCTCTAGTGTTTCCGCTTCACACCCTCTGCTGCATCCAGGAAGTTCCGGAAGCGCCTGAGGCGTTTGAGCCGACCTCTCAAGCGCCCGACAGCCAAGAACCTGTGCTGTCTCACTTCTCACTCAAGCGGGCGTAAGCTCAGTAGCTCAGCCTCACATGAGCCCTTCTTCCACTGAGGTCATCGAAGTCCAAGGAACCTGAGAAAAAGGTACTGCCTGACCCTCAAAACCTGGGTTGAGTGCTCGTTTAGACTTAAAGGCTGAGGCGCCCTGTACCCTACAAATGCTCGCAGCCTGAACCCAGAAATCCCAACCGTCCCAACCTTCGTCCAAACCTTAGGTCAAGCAGCACCGAGCTGAACAGCAGCAAAACTTAACGAGACCGCGAGCGATCCATAAGTAATGGCAGCTGTTTGGTGCACGTTGCAGTCTGTAGCAAACAGATGTGTCACACAAGTCGCGATGTCAGCACAGTTCAGGAGATTGAATGCCGAGGCTGGGACACATGGATATCATGAAGGACCAAAAGATCCTCGACAGCAAAGACGGGTCTTTGTGTATCACCGTCAGTGACTTCTGTTCATGATGGAGAGGTTAGACAGCGAAGCCAGAGGATTGTGCCTTGTTTGCCTTGACTTATCATCTGTCCTCGAGGCGTGTATCTTGGGACGAGCTCAAGACCAAGCTGGCCGAAGCAAACTGGAAGGAGGCTGGCATTCGGGACATGAAGCCGAGAACCCCGGCAGAGACATTCTTTGCCCTCTTTCCTAGGCAGGCGTGCCCGGGTCCAGTGAATTCGACACCTACGCTGCCAAGCTTGAAAAGCAGGGGCCCTAACTCAGCGAAACTCACGTGCAGTGGGTTTCGAGCCTGAATGAAGCGCATTCTCACTTCTGCCTGCCATCCAGCACCTGAAGAATGCAGGCATGCCTTCAACATCTCAGGACACGAAACGAGCGACTTGCACAGCAGGAGGACGACACAAAGAAAGCGCTGAAGGCCAGGTCAGGTGTACTGTGTCAGGTGTCACACTGGCTTCGGTGCTGTCTTGGGAGTCGAGGTTGTGTAGGTCCCGTGTTTGAGTCCGGATGCAAGACCGCGCTGGCCGCCAGCCTTGAAAAGCTGTTCGCACCTTCGTCGGAGTCCAGCGCCGAAATGGTGGAGCATTCCTACCTCTGCTGTAGCCGTTTATGAGGCAAACTAATGTAACTAATGGTCAGACTTCTCGGCCGGGTCGGCACAGACGTTTTTCGACACCGTGCCCACATCAGATGTACCAACCACGAGCCACTGACAAGCGAGCAAGCTCATCCGTAAGAAGGTAGCCTCCAGCAAGAAAGGCAGGAGAACAAATGACACTGGTCATACCAAGTTTGACATGGATGGCAGTAGGGTTACATTTGCCACGACAGCCGTAGTTACCATAGTTACAGCGACAAGAACAGCCGTGTTTGCTGTAAGCAACAGCGACAATACTGTATAGTGAGAGTTATCGCCAACAAGCCGATGAGGCGAACCGGCGTAAAGAATTGCAATCCCTCCCGTTAAGTCGTGCAACCATGGGTCCCGAGATCGAGATGGCAAAGTCCAGCAGGGTGCCAGTGAGGGTTACGGAGAGGGTGACATAACGTCTAAAGGTGCGATTAGCCGCCAGGAAAACATGTACATGTTGCATAGTGGCGCAAGGAACGATGTTGCTGGTTAACAGGTTCTTTTCTTCGTAACTGCCCCGTTGCAGCGGCTCGCCGGCAGGCGGTGGGCAAAGGCAAGAAAGATAAGAAAAAGGAAAAGAAGAAGGACAAAAAGCACGGGCCTTACAGTGAAACGTTCTGCTGACTGATCGGCTGTAATTCTTAGAAGTTGTTCGAGACTCGGGGGAAGGGACAATTGACGTAGTTGGACACAGATGCATACAAGGGCCACAAAGCCCCATTCCCGACTTCCGCAGGTATCATCCACTAGGTCCGCTCTGCCTTTTGCCGGTCGACCCATCGAATTTGCTGCGGCTGGATGCGCGTGATGCCCCTGAATGCACTACACTCTCAGCGACAGTGAGGTCTGGCATCAAAAGGACAGCGGACGGAGCTGTACTCGCGCACAGCAGTGCCCACCTCAGCTGTGGTTCTCCACATCCTTGGTGGGATGTGAACACACTGTCCACAATTGCTGTGGCTTGGGTGGGTATATGCATCTTAAAGGGCATGAGGTGCAGCGGAAACAGGTTCGGCTCAGAGTCTCGGCAGCTGACGAGTGCCTTGAGTCGACCGTTCCGGGTTGCAGCGTTGGGCATGCCAGACTCCAGCTGGTGTGAATTCGTTCGTCAACAGTCAAGAATCTGTGGGGGAACAGGTCCCAGAAGCAGCATTCAACACCTCGCCAGCCGCAGATAGAATTGCGAGCAGAAAGGTGGCGAGTCGGAGTCCGACCAGGATGACGCGCTCTTGGCACGCTACAAGCCTCTTGGTTCAAGGCTCTTTTCGCAGACAAGTTATGTTTCGAAGATGTTTCGGCTTCGATCAATTTCAGACCTGGACCTCACGCTCCTTCATCTCCTGTGCGAAATGTTGTGGTGCATGTGATGATGCCTGAGGCCACCCAAGTGAGCTGCGAGTCCGGCTGTGTTGCAAAACACAGAGTCAATGTACGAGCTGTGTCTTGGTCGGCCCGAAACTGCGGAGGACGGAGGTATTCTATGGAGGTTGACTGCCAGAAGTTTCGGACACGTCCCGGCTCTTCGAGTCATGCCCTGCGGTTGGTAGCCTAGCAACGCTGCCTCCAAGCCGCAGGAGGAGGTTCAATGTTTCACTCAACCAGCTTCCATCATGGTTTGTATTAAGACTACAACCCCTGATAGCTTCCTATGATATATGAAACTTTGACAATTTGATTACAGGAAAACGAGCAAGGCATTTGGGTATTTGGATCATTGAACCTGGGGTTGCAAGCATTTGATGCTAAACTACTGACTACTGGTGATTCTCAATTATACAAACATAAACATCTTCATATTTACGAAGATAGACTGGTTGAAGAGAACTAGATTTGGTTCTATAATAGAACGACTCAATAAATCTATTGTTATTTTTGACTAGTTCTTATATTTATGATTTGTAGGCATTCTGTATAATATAAGTATATAAGAGAATTATTTCAATAATTATATAGTTTTTCTTTTTTTATATTTAACTTAGATGGAGAATACTAGCTATATTCTTTTATGTTGAAATTAAAATTATTTCTATTATGATATTTATTATTTTACTTATCTTAGATATAACGACAGTCTATAAAGTATGTGAGCATTGATTTAAAGGTCTTTGTAAAGGGATTATATAAAATGGTTTTAATATATGAAATAGAGTATCTGTGATGGATCTATGATAGGAAAATAATAATTCGCGAAAATTGTTGTATAATAGATTTGGGCCGTATAGGATTTGTAAGGTATATGTTGTATAAGTCTGTGGGTAGATAGGTCGTAAATTCGTTGGTCTATTATATCGCGATGGAATATATGCAAAGCTAGATCGTTCGGCTGCAAGTCTTTAGATTGAAGGAGGTAGTGGGGGAATTGGGCATGATCGTGTCTTTTATTTAGGGCCTCACGAGTTGGTTTTTGCGATATATATAATATATATATTTAGTATTAATATCGGAGAGTATCATTTTTATGAAATTATAGTAGGTTAAGAACGAAGGATTCGATAAAATTGCCCGAAAGATGTCGCGAAAGAAATTACGTCGTTTCAAGGTCATGGCCTACGACTTGGAGTCGGCTTTTGTAGCTTAGCTACTGCTGCTACTACTACTAGTACTGCCACTTCTATTATTACTATTGCTACTACTACTACTACTCCTCTTACTACTACTACTTCAAATATATCCCGCAAAAGTTCTACGAAAGGAAACTAATAATCCATGAAGAAACTATTTCTAGAAATAGGAATATTGATTAACGCTCATATGTATATATATATATATATTCTAATAGTATGTAAATTACTTATATCTAGCGTCATTGAAATTATATAAGTTTCAAATTAATTCTGCTAGTTTTTTTTAAAATTTTCTCTATTTTCTTTAATTGAAATGGTTGCTAAGGGCCAGAAGGCACGGAAAGTTGTGATTTTGCCTGCACGTCTGCTGGGAGGAGGTGGAAAATAAACGCCAAAAACGGGTGATTCTCACTACCTAATATTACTTGGTTGTTACCTAAGCCACGTTGTGCTTCTATTTCTTCATTTTCTTCAAGTCTCTCTAGCCGTGTCGTTCCAAGGAGCCGGAATAAGAAAGGTGGGCGGGCAAATGCACAGGAAAGAAAGAGCAGGAGCTTAGTCTTGTAGCACATAGAGAACAGCTAAAAATAGAATAGGGAGGGTCTCTTGCAAGTTAGGAAAGGCGGGGAAGGAGGAGGGGAGAAGCGGAGAGGAGCAAAGGGGGGGAGGAGGCAGGGCGGCGGGAATACGAAAGGATAGGAGCCCAAAAATAGCAAACAATGAAGGGGGTCGAGGAGGCAAACGCCCAAAAGACAGGAAAAAATCAAAGGAAGCCGGGCAAGGGGAGTAAAATGGAGGCAAAAAATGGGTGGGTCCAACCACTTCGGCTGCAGGGAGGAGGATTAGGTGGAAGGTACTTGAGGAGACAGACGCCTGGGTCGCTGGCCTCGGCGGATATATTTTAGTTCAGCATAGTGCATTAGTATATATTTTTCGGATGCCTGTCTATGGGTCTCTTGGATTCTGTAAATCTTTTGGCTTGTAGTCGTTATCAATTATTTTAGAAGGTGATCATGCCATGTGTGGGGTGGTAGGTACGTGTGTGTCGAGGCGTGTCACGGAATGGTGGGTGAGGGAATGTGTGTTGGGGGAAGGCGGGCGAGGGCGGGAGTATCGTGGAGTGGTCGCGGTATGGAGGACCTGGGGAGCTGTGGAGTGGTGTGTGCGGGCGAGAGCGAGTTTGAGGGAATATGGTAAATGGCGGATTAGGAAGAAAGTATATATATAGAAATATATTTAAATAGTGCGGGGATAAAGAGGATATATTTAAGCGAGAGGGGCGAGAGAGCGGCGAATATCGTAGATCGAATTATAGAGCGTCATGATGGGAGGAGGGATATATATAATAGATTTATTTTTTATAAAATTATATAAAGATAATAATGGATTCGATTTCGTCTATTTGAAAATATTCTATATATTGATATTGGAATTTTATTTATTTTATGGAAGAAGATATTAATAATATATTTATATTTATATTTAATTATGAATCAAAAAATTATATAAAGTTTTCGATATTCATATTTCTTATATTTCTAAATCTATATTCTTTATTAATTAATTCATCTTTTCTGATAAAGATTCATTTATATTCTTGTATTAGGTAGTATTCTATTTATAATTAAGAATTGAATTCGATAAAGCTTAAGAAATATTTCATATTTATTTCGATCCCTATAATATTGAATAGAAAAATTCTTATTA